GCTGTTGCGAACTTAACCATTCAAAAATTAATATTTATATAAATAATAGAATAAATTCTCACAATAAAAATCAAACATATAAATATATTATGAATAAGGTACACGATAAAAATACTATCATCATCAGCTCACTGTACGTCCCCATCGAGAGGTTCGGAGCCTACCCTAAGTTAAGGGTGATTAGGCCATAGTCATCCACGCTGACCAAGTGCGGGTTGGTTGACTTCACACATATCTTTGAATTTCTTCTGAGGTGTATGCAGGTTGCATTGCGATGTTTTCCTTCACCGTAAGAACGTCGGATAAAAGTACATATGCAATTCGGAAATGGAAACACATTGGTACATTGCGGGATTCGAACCCAGGAACTGCAGATTGCAAGTCAAGTGCTTGACCCCTGAGCCACCGACGAAAAAAAATACTCTAATAAATGTTATTTCGTAATAACATAGAGAGCAACCGTTCGCGTTTGATGGGATTAAAATGCGATTTGGAAGGAAAATTTTTATTTGAAATTTTCTAAATGTCAGAGCGCAAATTGAATTGTTTCTGGCAACACCGCGCGGGGGACCGGCGAGCTTGGAGGGTCGGAAACGTCGAATCATTTTACTCCAATAACATTACGTTCATTCATTTAATTTTACAAACAAACAAGCATTTTCAAATAAACACTAGAAAATTCCATATTAGTATTTTTAACCAGCTCATGATATATTGCTTTAAAATAAAACGATTTTAAGGTTAAGTACTACACCAAATTATTTGTAAATGAAACTAGATTTAAACAACAAAGTCGTTTAAAATACCTAAATCACGTGAAGTGAATTTAGCCACGTTTTTTGCGCTCAAAATAATCCCCATGAATTTTCCTCTAACAAGGGCTGGCCACCCCTACGCCTAACAAAGTCCGACAATCTAATAAAAGGAAAAATAAAAAAATAAATAAGAGGACCAAAAAGCGTCCCGCTCAGTGACACAATGAGTCAACCGTCGAAAATTTAATTCGTTTCAAAGTTGCCAGCCTAATTCGTTTACCCGTTCGGGAAATTAAATAGATGGGTAATTTGGCAACCCCATTAGTGGGGCCCAGTCCGTTTAAAGTGAAGACCTAGGGAACAAACTAGGGTCTGATTTATGTGACGTAGGGGATGGTTTTATGCGTTAATGCAAAATCATACATCACTGTAGTTTTAAATAAAAAATTACTAAATAAAAAGTGCATGTAAAAATATGTAGTAAAAAAGTTAAAGTTCTTTACTTTCACTTATTATATTTTGTATGAAAATATCTAACGATAAAAACCCATAAAGTAAATAAAATTAGAATCAATATATGAAAGTAAAATTTTAGGTAAAAATACGATACCCTTTGATATTTTTATTAAATGTAACACCGTACTAAAAAGCATTCATCATCAAAGCATAAAATTGTAATAAATAATCTTTTAGGTAATTTTTATTTATACTATATTTGATAAAATTAAGTGTCTCTAAAACATTATTTGAATAAATCAAACAGCAGGGATGTTCCTACCCTCCATGATTGGATTTACATGTGTTTTAAATACATTACTCGCAAATAAAGTTTTTCTCAATTCTCTTATTCATTGGAAGCGTTAATAGAGATGAATAGTATCTGGCGAGACGCCAGCAAGCCTCCCAATACGTACCCTACTATGCAATCTCGACTCGAACTCGAAACAGTCGCAGAGCCCGCTATAACATCGCACGAATCGGCCCGGCTCTCCCGGTGAAATACCACGACCACACAGAAGACAGGCGTGAAGGGGAAGCAATTCCGCGTTTCCTCTTTCCCTCCCCATCCTTTTTTTTATAAGGAAAGGATGGGAAATGGAACTGGACTTACCGGATGAGAGGATGCAAGGAAAGGGAAGATATTTTTTTTCTGTACATCCTCTCCTCCGTCTATTAAAGGTAGGCACAACGCATATGCGATTGCGTATGTATATGGGCAGCAGTCACTTTGCTATTTAAGCGATTTCGGGTGGCCGCTCGCTCGTTTGCCACCTTATCCTATAAAAAAAACTCGATCAAAATTAAACAGGTGGATCGCGGTCTACTTACAGTCTCATCAACTTACTCACTTGCTCAAGGATTCTACACAGTTATTTTTTTTAATATCCGGAGACAAAAGAATCGGCCAGAAAAATTATCGAATTAGCAGTGCAAAGACAAGTTAAAAGTAAAAAAGGATATTTTCCTTTCTATAAATTCTCCCCCCTGCAAAGTCAATTTACTCATCCTATCTTTTGTGAAAATCGTAGGGATCAAATTTGGATTTTTATTATATATACTCGTATTTTTATATATTTGGCGAGTACGACACGGAACAATAAAAAATTTATAAAATAATCTCGAACTCGAATCGAATGCACGATTGATCATTAAATTTAGTTCAAATAGTAGGGGCGAGATTTTTTAATGTTTTTGTTTGGGGGGTCGTAAGCTTGTTAAATGATTTTATGCGGCGCTAGTCACATCCCGATTGAACTTTTGTTAAGTGGACGATTAACTGAAATTGTGTCTAGACGGCGAAAAAATTGAGTCAGCCTGCACTGAAAAAAAAATTACGAGGAGATATTAATCTGAATATTGTCTACGAAGCGAGTAAATGTACATTATGTGAAAAAAATAAGAGGGGGAAAAATATAAAATGAGTTATTCTCTACGAAAAATTAATTTTATATTCTTTAGGTACAGACAACAGTTTTCAAAGCTAATAAAATTAGTAGTGTCATTTTTTTAAGATAAAAAATCAGGTTTACGGACAGTTAAGAATTCAACAGTTAATTTCTTATGTATGTACCTATATATTTATGTACTAAGTATGCTGAATATATTAGTACGTACTGTGTATTATATTCAAATTCACCCTTTATAATTATTTTGTCCAAAAGTCCGTAATGTCTGACGCCGTCCGTTTTAATTATTTAACATCGGGTGCGTTGAGTTCTCATGTGCGGTTTGACGTCATACATCAAATAAAATAGAATTTCTATTTTTGGACTATACTTACGTAATCTGTACTTCAGACTTTTTTTATTAATGACTTATTAAGTAGCCTATGTGTTCTACATTACTATATTCTGCATGTATGCCAAATTTCATCAAGATCTGTTGAGCCGTTCTGGAGATACTTTTAAACAAACATCCACCCATCCATCCATCTAAACATTCACATATATTATAATAGTAAGATTAACTTGAGTATATATAGCTGAGTACAGTTCAGATTGATTTTGTTAACTTAAATATTAATTATTGATTTAAATTTCTACTTCAGATAATAACTATGTATCGTATGTTTGTATATAAGACAACTATGTACATATGATTTATATGCCCTCTTGTATGGACACATAAGTACTTACGACACTCAATAACAGTCGTTGACCGTCTGACATTGCATCCCTTTTAAGATTTTTTTTTAAAATACTTAGATAAAACACTTAACTCAATTTACTATACGATTAGTGTCCCTATTGAAAAGGAATACCTTCGTGAAAAATACGTTAATTTAACGTTATTCAATTACTAAAAGGTTTGGTACATATTTTTTGGTAATGCTTTTTATGAAATTGAAAATAAGAGTAGAATTAAAAAAAAAGATTTAGGTATAAATATAAACATAATACCTATAACCCTGAGTAGGGTATGGCATGATCCTGGCACAACACATATCTTACTTATATAAATACGAATGTTTAGATGGATGGATGTATGTTTGAAGGTATCTCCAAAACGGATGTATAGATCTTGCTGAAATTTGACACAATCTTAGAACATAGTCTGGAAGAACATATAGACAGCTAATTTAGTTTTATTTTTAATTCTTCGCGGACGGAATCAGGCGACAGCTAGTATGCATGTAAATAAAAATGATAATAGAAGGCTGTAATTTCTATACAAATTCTTTTTTATAAGAGAGATGTGCAAACGAGCAGTGGATCGCCTAACAATAGACTACAAGACCAGAGGAACCGCAGATCCATTGTTGGTTTTTAAAAGAGATGAACGATCGTTTCTTGAAGACATCTAAGTCAATATTTGGAAATTTAAAAGAAGATTTAACTTTTATAACCTTTCTGTCTGTATCTAACTACTACTTTATTAAGTACACAAACTAAAAGATAATTCATTTGTTCCCGAGTTGATGTACTCCACTTAAAACTTGTTAACAACCACCCGACAGATGGCGACGTGTGCACGGGGAGAGGTCGCAGGTGCAACTCTAACCAACCACCTAATCCTGCAGGCTGTTATATAACATCAAACACAAAGTGACATGTGGTGCTTGTTTAAATATATTAGTGTCGGTTTACATTGGCAAAACAAACATAAAATTGTCAAAAAAGAAAATTTCAGAGAAAATTATAAATTTGACAATATCTTATCTTATTAATATTATAAATGCGAATGTTTTGATGTATAGATGTTTGTTGGAAGGTATCTCCGGAACGGCTCAACCGATCTTGATGAAATTTAGAATAGACGTAGAAAATAATCTGGAAGAAAACATAGGCTTATTTCAATTCCCTAATAAATCTAATTCTATGGATGATTTAAATTCATGGTACATCACTAAAGAAACAGCAAAATTTTACATATAACAAATAATACACGTCGCGTTATTACGCGCGGAGTCGCGTCGTACACTCGGTCGCGTAAACACCGTCCTACACTGCTCTTAAGTTGATTATTAAGTTATGTGGTGAATAGTGTCTGTCGCAAAAGTGTCGTGATTAATTTAGTAGCTTTATATGTATTTCTTCACTTTAAAACAATTAACGTGTAAATAAATCCTAAAATAAGTTAATAACGATTAACATAATTACGGATTGCACTCGAGACAATTTTCTGCAACTACCTACATAACTTCTCAGCGTTTAATGACTGGTGATGTATTATACAATCAATTGAATCGATTCATTGAAAGTTCATCGGAATATTTCAAGCGAACACAATGTCGTTAAAGTTTCAACGGGCGTGCGTCGGGTGTAAGAATATGAAAGCTAAGTGCGACTGTCCCAGCACTAGTATATCAAAGTCGAGCAATAGTAATATTCTATTGCGTTCTTCTGCTGTGAGTCCTGCTGATAACGTCATCCTATCGCCGGGGGGCTCCAATGACAATGTCACATTACGCAAAAATGCGACAGCGTGTGCGCAAGACCGTGAGCAGGCGGAATACGTCACTGAACGTTCCCTGAGGGAAATTATGAAAAATGAAATGGCAGATATGCTTAAAGTTTTCATCCAGCAACATGTGACGGAACAATTCATAACCGCCACTAACGACTTGTGTAAAAAAATGGAAAAGTTAACTTCGACTTTAGAGAATTTTAACGCGCGAATGAGTAATGTCGAGGAGCGTGTGGCGATTGTTGAGAAACGCCTGGATGCCACTGTTAATCGCGAAGATTCGGCAGCTTTTGCGAATCTTCAAGCAAAATTAAATCAATGTGAACAGGCTTGCATTGCTAATGACTTGGAAATCACTGGTCTACCGGAAGAGAAAAATGAAAGCCCACTTCATTTGACGTCTATCTTAGCCAAAAAACTTGGTGTTACCCTGGATGAACGCGATATCGTCAGTGCTGAGCGAGTGGGTCGGAAAACTATCGTAGCTGAGTATGAGCGGGGTAAAGAAGAAGATGCAACAGCAGCGCGACCGCGCGCACTTGTTGTCCGGTTGGTGCAGCGCGGCGCTCGCGACGAGCTGCTACGCGCTGCGCGGGTGCGGCGCGGCTTCGACTCTGCTGGCATCGTGCCGGCCGCCGCCCCGCGCCGCGTCTACGTTAACGAGCGGCTAACGCGCCTCAATAAACAGCTGTTCTACAGGGCACGCGAGGAATCTCGTCGCCTAAAATGGAAATTTGCGTGGACCAAGAATGGCACAATTTTTGTCAGACGTGATTACACCCAAACGGCAATAAGGATTCGCGACCATGTAGACATCGTGAGGGTTTTTAGTGATATCACAGTTAGCCCCATTTAGAAATCTTTACATATTTCCTTCTCAGCATAGCTCGTTTAATTCGGTATTTTTAGATTATATATTATTGTTTGTAATTTATCTAATTAAGGACAGAAGCGATTTATTTTATATTTATTACTTATCCAAAGTCTACTATAATATACCTTTAAAGTTTTCGTTATATGCCACTGGATTGTCATACTTAGATGACTTTTGTAAATTTTTTAATGTTATGTCACTTCTCAATACACAATTTATTACAATTGTTAAGTCGTTAAAAACTAATTTAATTGTTAAAAAAATGGTTTCATCAATTTTTTGTACCTTACTGCTCTTAACCACACTGCCGCGCAATTACTTGGTATGGTTGATATTATATTTCGTTATCATTTGCTTAGAAAGCATATACATTGAATGGTATCATGAAAATAGTGTAAAAACTTGTGTTATATTTGTCCCACCTACATTCAAGACTACAAATTTAAATTTGAAAACGAATCTAGAAGAGTTAAAACATAGTTTAGTTACTGTCTCCTTGAACTCGGGATTACAAAACTTTATCTATAAATGCACTAGAATACTAGGAAAACCTAAATGTTATTTACGTAACAATATATTTTTATCGCGTATCCTACATGGCTATGGCTATCTTTAACAACTCTTTTTTGAGATTAGGCCTATTAAACATTAGGTCTATAAACACTGGACAAGATGAACTAACAGCAACGCTTCTTAACTACTCGCCTGATATCGTAGCCCTCAACGAAACCTGGCTCAAACCGGGTGTGGAGGCTGCGGCACCCGCGATCCCGAGTTACAAATTCTTACACAAGGCAAGGCAAGGGAAAAAAGGTGGAGGTGTGGGCTTCTATGTTCGACAAGGAATCACTTCTAAGGTACAAAAACATCCTACATCTAAACTTGAACAATTCTGGCTTGAAGTTCAATTGCAGGGCTCCAGTTTGGCCGTTGGCACTGCCTATAGACCGGAGTCGGTGGGAGTTCAAGACGCTCTAGACGCCCTCAGTGAGTCTATCAACTCCTTGGCAAGATGTGACCTTACATGTGTTTTAGGCGATATTAATATAGACATGGCAAGTCCGAAAAATCCAAAAGCGCAAGAACTCTTACACTTCTGCCATCAGCATAACCTCGAACAACTAGTTAAGGAACCCACGCGAATCACGCAGCACTCAGGGACCATTCTAGATCTCGTTCTCACTGACAACGCGTCGAAGTGCCGAAATGTGCAAATTATTCATAACTACTGTCTAAGTGATCATGCTTTGGTCATTGTAGACTTTGACATAAGAAAGACCAAGTTTAAAAAAGAAATTAAATATAGGCGCCCATTACTACATATAAATTTTGACTCTTTTAATGCTGATTTAAACCGCTTACCATGGGACTCCATCGGTGACCTGCAAGATGTCAACCAAATGGTCAAAACATTTAATAGTTATATGCTTCTACTGTTTGATATCCACGCTCCAATTCGTAAAATAATCTGCGGGGTTAAGCCGAAACCGTGGATAACAAATATGATAAGATTCATGATGAGGCTGCGAGACCAAGCATTACAGCGAGCACTAAAAGTGAAAAAAGAGAGCGCCAAAGACTACTATCGTAATCTTAGGAACTTAGTGACCGCCTCGATAGAACGCGAGCGAAGAGCCTATTTTAATAGCTTCATTAACAACAACTTAAAGGACTCGGCTACGCTTTGGAGAAATATTAAAAAAATCACCCAGGTAAACAGCACCAAGACCAACACGATTCCTGATCATTTAAGCGACCCAGATAAAATTAACGATCATTTCCTTAATCTACCACCTTGTCCTGGGACAATTCTCGACGCAAGAAGTATGAACCTGATTGATGTATCAGAACACGATGAGTTAAACTTAAAACCAGTCTCAGAGGAGGAAGTAAAAAATACTATCTACAATATAAAAACTAAGGCAGCGGGACACGATGATTTAAGCATCGACATGATAAAGTTGACATTGAAAGTCACACTACCTATAATAACTAAGATGGTGAATAAGTCTATTGAAACCAGCACATTCCCCTCTAGCTGGAAGAAAGCGCTAGTTAAACCTATCCAAAAAAAAGTACAGTGGTCGACCTAAAAGATCTACGCCCGATTTCAATCTTACCGGTATTATCGAAAGTACTAGAGAAAGTGGTGCTGGTGCAAGTTCTAAAGTACCTAGAGAACAAGAATATAACGCCAAAGCTTCAATCAGGCTTTCGCAAAGCCCATGGCACTGAAACGGCACTCTTAAAAGTTACAGACGATCTGACGGAGGCATCGGATATGGGGCTTAGCTCCATTATGGTGCTACTAGACTATTCGCGAGCATTTGACTGTTTGGAGCCGAAATTGCTTCTATCTAAACTGCAGCATTATCGTTTCTCAAAAAACACATGTCAATGGTTTCACTCATTTCTTAACGGCAGAGAACAATCCGTTATAGTTGAAAGCAAAGATGGTCTTAAGAGATCTTCCACTTCTAAATTCATCCTACGCGGTGTACCTCAAGGTTCGCTGTTAAGTCCAACTCTCTTTACAATTTTTACAGCTGATTTACCTACACAAATAAAACACTGCAAGTACCACCTTTACGCTGACGACACTCAACTGTATTACTCCTTCGACAGCAAAAAGACAGAAGAAGCCGCTGCCAAAATCAATGAGGACCTAAGGAACGTTTACTCATGGTCTCAAAAAAATTCTTTACTTCTTAACCCAAATAAGTCTCAGATGGTATTCTTTGGGACCAAAAACCAAATAAAAAAAGCGGAAGTCTTAGAAACGCAAATAAACATCAATAATGTACCAATTCATAGAGTGGCATGTGCACGTAATTTGGGTCTAATGATGGACGAGGAACAGAAGTATGCTGAACATATTGGCAACAAAATTAAGGCAGCTTTTTTCAAGTTAAAAACCCTATATAAAATAAAACCATATATAAACGAAGAACTAAGATCACTACTCTGTGAGTCCTTGGTACTGTCTCAACTCAATTACAGCAGCGTAATCTACGGCCCTAGACTAAATAACACAGCTGTAAGGGCTATACAAAGAGTGCAAAATGCAAGTGTTCGGTTTTGCTACAATGTGCCAAGAAGGGAATATATCACCCCATATCTGAACAGGAAAGGCATACTAAACATGGAAGCAAGAAGAGAGCTGCATTTTGCCTGTACTGTACACAAGGTGATCTGGACTAAGAATCCAGAATATTTATTTGAAAAACTTGTTTGGATAAAGGATTTCCCGCACAGAAGCCGCCATGCAACATCGAATTTGTTGAAAATACCTAAACATAAATCGGCAAGATTTCAGGGATGTTTTAAATTTGCTGCAGCAAGAATCTGGAATGATCTCCCTCCCCCCCTTAGGAACAAAATGAACATCTACAGCTTTAAACGAAAATATAAATTGGCGCTGCTGAAGCGTCAACTTGCTGCAGAAAATATAAAACTTTCCTACTGGAAACACCTTAGTCTGAAAGAGTATTTGTAATTCATAAATAAAGATAACATCCAGTACATACATATTGTACTAAGCACATAGGTTCGTTAACACAAACACCACTCATTACCACACGCATACATAAACCCAGACTCACATACACTCACACACTAACACACACACACACATAAACACACACACACTCACGCACACACACACGCTCACACATCGGAAAGCTGGTGCTTGCTAAAAGGAAAAAACTACCTACATATAAACAAGAGTAATAGGATCATTATTGGTTGAAATATTATATACTGTTCTTACTTAACAGTTTCATTTTCTTAAATTGTGTCTTTTGATTTTCTGTTCGAATATGTTAAACGCATTAAGTATTAAGTAATAATTTGTTAGTTTCTGATTTTTAACTTTATGAATAGTGTACAGCGACCATCTACTATCTATTCCCCCTTTTTCATCTTGGGAAGGGGGGGTGGCTGAAAACCAGCTCGACACTGGAATTTGACCTGTGTTGGCAAAGCTGAGCCATCCCCTTTTGCCAGCACTATCTCTGTATAACAGTGTGATGTATAATTTTATTCAGTTTTTTTTTTTATGGCAATAAAGTTTTTATTATTATTATTATTATTATTAATATGTCGATTCCCATAAAAAAGGTAAAGCACTAAAAGCAAAAGGTTTTCGATGATTTGTCAAAACAGAATTATAACCATTTTATTATCAGAAAAGCACTTAAAAAGTAAGATGTCTTAGTTAGCATTTTCATATGAAATTGTGAAAATCCCATTCCAAGTGATTTTTTCCAATTTACTCCGAAGAACGTGTAATAAAACGGTTACGAAAAGGTTAGCTGAATGGATTATCACGGAAAAGTTGCTTTATAAAGTGATATTGCGTCAGAAAAATCAATTTCTGGTCTTTAAAGCACATTCACACGAGCGTTTTTTAACTCCAAGTTGGCGACTCTTAAGCGACGAAGACTTTATTCACTCTTGTTCTTTTATTCCAGCGATCTAAATGGAATCTGCGCGATTAAAATTGTCACGATTTAAAAGCGCTGCTATATGAATAGATAAAGATATGTATTTGTTCAATATAAACGCTTTTTTAACGCGCGATTAAAAAGACGCCCCTGTGAATTTGGGTTTAGCATTATATTTGGGATTTGAAATTTGTTATTTTGGTTGTTTTATAAATAGGAAAATTTGTATAGTGTTTGAGGTGAATACTACGACTATGTCGTTTTAGATTTGAAAAAGAGGAAACTTTTTTTTTGTTACGTAATTTATGTTCACTTTTCAAAAATTTAAACATTTTTCTAAGTTAAGCTAACTTTTACAACAAGTTTAATAATTTCTGCGAATTATTTTCTAGCTTAAATCAAGGTTATATATAATATTGATAGAAAACACTTACTACCAGATGGAGGGCGAAACAAAAATTACGCTGTTAGGAAAATACGTTTTTTTCCAAACAGTTAGGTAAAACTTTCAGTCAGGGCAAGTTGAAGAAATCGCGCGTAAAATAAAACCA